GACATTTTATAATGTATATTTCTATTTGTCGTGTAGTTTTAGTATTTCATGGTATTTTGATAAAATTTAAAACATCCAAATTTATGTTGTCTTACTTATATTTTGCTATCATCATATGTCGTGATTAAAAAGTTTATTTTTTTTGACATAATCATGTCGCCTTGCAGTCTTGAAGCTGTTTGTAATGCTTTAATTTTTTCGTATGCCGATGATTTAATTGACGACGATGAATTCGTATTGCATTATAATTATAATATGTCAAAACCACTTTTTCCTTCCCTGGAAGTTTAATAAGTTTAAGACAGTTGGTATGATGTTGAATGTGTGACTGAGTTACGTTTTCAGAAAGATGATTTGTCGTCACTGATGAGATGTTTTAGAATCCCAGATACAGTTGTATGTGATCAAGATGCAGTTTGCAGTGGTATAGAAAGTCTGTGTATTGCATTGAAGAGGTTGTCATACCCATGTCGATATACTAATAGGGCTCATAGATTTGGACGAAGCCGATCAGAGTTGTGCCTTATTTTCAATAAAGTGTTGGATATAATACACAAAAACAATATGTTTTTGCATGGCAAGTTTGTACCAACCTTTCTTATCTCAGGACAAGCTGCACAACTATTCACAAGCAGTAAATGATCGTGTTGCTCCATTAGTTAATTGCTTTGGATTTTTTGATGGTACTGTGCGAAAAATACCACGCTCAAAATACAACAAAGAATAATATAGAGTGGCCATATGCGAATCCATGCCATTAAATTTCAAAGTATTGTTTTACCAAATGGTTTGATTGCAAATTTAACTGATCCATATGAAGGCAAAAGACACGACTCTACCATACTGCAAGAATCTCGAGTATTGCTTAATTTACGACGTGCTGCTTTAAAGAAACAATAAAATAGTACAAATATATCGTATATAAAATTTAAAATAGTGAAGATTTTCCAGTCTAAAGAGTCCTATATTCTCGTAAAATCAGTTTTACTGATATCATTATTGACAAATAGAGCCTTAGCTGCTTCGAAATCTTCAGTGTTTTACACAATAGAGTTTTGAACCTGAATGTCTTGAGTTTTTCATTTAACACCTAATCAGGTGCGTCGGTTTCCCTCTGAAATGATTAAGTTTGGTGAAGTTCAGTCCTCATTTTCTGTGTATCTGTTGAGTCGTTTTAGGCGTTAGGATCAATATGTACTGTCGGCCAGCGTTCTAGAGACGACAGTGGTGATTGAAATGACTCGAATGATTATTTGAATAACAGGATTAAGGAACAAAAAATAGAAATCATTACTAAATCTCAAAGCCTAAAGTCTTCAAAAGGCCATTTATTCAACATTTTTCATTTTGAAGAGTCATTTTACCTACTTATTTGTTTAGTACCGTATGTTCTTTCAATAATTTATTTTTAGGTGTGGATATCATAAGAAAAAATTTGAGTATTCAGTTATGTGGAAATTTTCCCTAAATACTAGTTTATAAACTCTTAAAATAAAGGTCTGCCCCCATTGAAAGCAATTTATTCAAGGAAACGATTCATAAAAACCTTCTTACGTTTCTTAACGTTTTGTGATTTCTTTCAGTTGCAAAATGCCCATGACTAAATAATTTAACCCTTTACTTCTTAATCTTTTTGGTACTTTGAGTTCTGGATGGTTTTCTTCATTTTGTCGTTTGGTAACGCATAGAGAGTAAAGGTTAAAACTTTAAAATAAAGTATAACGCACATAAAATAACTTATTCCATTGGAATAAATTTTACTGCCTCCTTTTATGGTAATTGCACCTGTTTAAAATCATGCCATCTAAATAATTGTATTACTTTTTCATAAAACCACAATAAGAATTTCTTTCAAAAATTTCAAAAAACTTTAGAAATCACATGCATTACAATTAAGTTCAATTGTTACTACTTTGAAAGTTGAGCCACACATATAGTTTATCCTGCCACATACTGCCAACCACAAGTTGCCAGTTGTACTGGTAACAATTTTGAATAAAAAAGATCGTCAAGAGTAACCTTAAACATTTTTTGTGCACAAGTTGTTGCTCCATGTAGGGCTCATTTTAAAATGATTAACATTTCTAAAGATCAACGCATTTCCATTGAATATTCAAATTAACTTAATAGTCAATAGGAAAATTACTAATACGTTTGTTTCCTTTAATATTTTTCATGTTATTGTAATTTCATATGAAGGTTATTCCAGTTTAGGCTTCAAAATTACAGTTTACAAAATTAGTTCCTTAATAATTAAGACATGAAAGAAAGTTGTCGGTGAACTTTCTATAAAGTTTTTCATTGACTTAAAGTTGCTATATAACTCGGAAATGCATTTATTATTTAAATCGAATTAGAAAACATTAAATATTGATTTTTTAAATGAAATTTCAAGTTATATAAAAAACAAAACCATTTACGAAGTAAAAAATGCTTTTAAAATTAGTGCATCTGTTTCTGTGATTTAGACTAATTCATTTTTTTGTTTTTAGCTAAACGTGTTTGAATCGTTGATGACGTGAAATTTAATCTGCTTAATGCGCTTTTGCAAAGAAATTATAAATGCCATTGTCTTTTTTTAAGTGGAACTGCATGACTAATATTATTTTGACTTCTACAACAATTTAAATTTTGAATATAATTGTTATCACATCACAAACGGTACAAGCACGTTTAGCTGAAATTAAATAATACGATGAACTTAAAATCCAGAAACAAATGCTCAAATTTTAAAAGCATTTTTTATTTGATAAAAGGTTGTTTTTTTTAACTTGCAAGTTCATTTAACAATTGAACATTTAATATTTTCTAATAATTCAAGTATTATAACATCACAGTAATTTATGACACGTTATTGCATCACAAAATTTTAATGTTATGACATCACACTGCTATGACATTACAGAGTATAATTACATTTTAAAAACCATTGATTTTCCATAATTTTTTATTCTTTTACGCACAAATACAAATGTTTACATGTGAAGATGACTATCTTTTAAAAGGTACAAAAGTTCGATATTTTATTATTGTCGACATTTGACGTCAATTTGACGTCAAAAGATTGTTATTTGTTGCTTGTATCTACAAGGAAATTATAAAAGCACAGTATATTGAAAAGTCAATTTAATTTATTTTTCTATCGAATACAGAAAATTCCAATGTAAATTTTGAAGTTGATCCATCTAAATCGAATGTATTACGCAATTTTATTACATCAAAAACAAGCAATTTTCATTTTTAACTTTTCCAAATTGGAACAGGGCAATTAGTTGAGAGTAGAATACAATAAACTTTGGCTCAGCACGAAGATTACTTGAACTACTTTTCTACACTCTGTGACGCATAATATAGCACAATAGCATGTGTGTTATAACACGTGCCTTCTGAAAAACACTCTTCTAGCAAAGTTTAACTTTTATCCATAACATAAGAAAAATTGTAATAACTGTGAAATCGTATAACAATCATATCACTCAACCTTATGTAACTATGTCTTTTCTTACTTCAATTTCTTCTTTACTAGTGTGGGTGTTCAGACAAATATTCAATATAGACGTTTTAATCAAAATCACCAATTTTTGTATTTATGTCGAGAATTTTCTTTTATATCACCAAAAACGACACGAGAAACTGATAGTTTATTTCAAAAAACAACATAGACATAACTATCTAGCATACATTCTATACTTGGAAAGTTTTTTTTCCTACATAGAAACCAGTAGTTCACATATTCAGTGTCCTATTTCATATTAACATCTAATAACCTTTTTTACACCCTGGGATTTAATCCATGTTGAAAATCTTCTGCCGAGAATTTGAAAATAGTTGGATAGTCCGTTATCCAAAGTTCATCTCTGACAAGTAGAGGATAATTTATTAATTTATTAACTTACCAACTCCTCAAACCTCCTTTCAAAGGAGTCAGTCTCAAAATGCTTAGAGCATATCCTCCAGTACTTAGTCTGTATACTTTTGTAACGTTTTCTCCACACAAAATCGACTTAATGCTTTGATCTTTTTTGTTCATTTCTATCGTCATCGAAAAATAGAATCCCACGCATCGAATTCCCACAACCGTATACAACGCATGTATTAGGCGTTTTAGAGTATATTTGCTGCTGTGCTCTTACTTGCAAAAGAATATATTGTATAGCATCTATTTTGTTAGTTGGAAATAAACAGTTTGCATATGTAAAAAACTAAAAAAGTCAGTGAGTCAGTGAGTCAGTCAGTAATTTTTTTGTATATAGAAACTGTGAATGCACATCCGCACTCTAAATGAAAATTAATTTAAATATAATGAAAAAGGCTGTTTTGAATATATTCAATATTGTAAATGCACAAGTATTTAGATATTTTTGGATAGTGGTATGTATTGCTAGTTCTCCGTAAGCAAAATTTTCCGGAAGAGGTTAAGCACTTTAGAAAAATACTGTCTATTAGATACCGTCATCCAAAGACCTAGCTGTTACACGGAGATTTAGAAACACAGGCGTACGGAAGGTATCTCTTCTGGGGGGGCAGTAAATTTTTCCTCCAACTCACAATGAAGGTTCCACCGTATTTTAGCCAGACTAACGTTGAAAAGTTGCCCAAGTTTTTAGTCTCAACTTTCTTTGAGAGCACCTGCTCCCTTGCTCCCCTCCCCATCACGTACAACTATGTTTAGAAACTTTGGAAAATATATTATCCATTATAGATACCGTCATCAAGAGACCTGACGGGTTTTGAATTATTTCAAAAACGGCAACAATTTAAACAGGGCAATAGATAGAATGAAACGTTATTTGAAATCCAACGAAGTTTCTTCTTTGTTAAGAAAATACAATCATCCTATAGAATTGTGAAGTCGCCTGGACGGAGTTCTCGGGGGTTAATGCAACGGAAGATAAGTCTGCCACTGAGCGAACACAGAAATCAGTAATTTGACATTAGCTCTGATTTAAACCGCTTACTTCAATGCTGCCACTACGAAATAAAATGTGGAAACTACTCACCAACAGTGAGACGAATCAACTCCAATTGAGGATTTTCCTCGATGTGGATTGTCTCCACAACATTTCTCATAGGATTAAACGTGTTCTGTGCTGTATACGACACTGGGATGTCCCAATCTCTTGGTTCACACGTACTCATTCTACATACTACGTACACCAAAAAGAACATGACGTCATTGATTTATTTTACGAATAAACTTGTTGATTCCGGTGAAGGGGACAGAGTCAGAAGTTATATCCCATGTTTTTCGTGGTACTAACTCCTTGTCTTACAAATATTAGTAAATGATCCCTTACCCAAACCATAGATCTTAATCTTACAGTTCCAGGATATGGCCAACATGCAAGAAGTCAACAGGACAGAGCTAAATATATGAATATTTACCCCCACCCAATTAGCGTTCTAGTTTCCCACCTGAATAAGCTAAGCTGCATGTGGCTCTCACGAAGACTAAAGTTTAAGATTTCAACTTACTGAATTTGCAGTGCCACGCTCTTATACGTCCTAAATTACACTGAAGTACATAAAACAATGAGAAAATGGTAGCAAAGTCAGTATATCACTCCGAAAATAGTGCAACCGATATTTTAGAAATCTGTACTCTGTATATTAGCTATTATCAGCGACATGTTGGACATTTAACGGCGTTTACAGCAAAGCCGATATCGGACAAGACACTTGAAACTTTTTTTATGTTATGCAACACTTTGAGAGTCACAGCAGAAGCAGAGACAAAAAGCGTTTTTAGTGATATCTGTGATTTGCAGACACTCGGAAAATATGCATGAAAAATACATCAAAAATCTTTGTAGGTCCCAATTCCGGAAGTTACAAAAATAGGAGCGTCGAGAATTATAGCGCTCACAGAAAAATCACACGAGATGATTTTCTGCATTTCATAGTACTCTGTGCTGGAAGAATATAAGTGTTGCTCTCCAACATTACTTTGTACGTCATGAACAGGATTTTGAAACTCGTTGTTCATGAAATCTTTGCATTGATTGTAAACGGTTTATCTTTCCTCTGCCGGGGAGGTTTGAGGTCGAATGTGGTCTGCTATCACAGAGCAACGAGTCGAAACCAGCCTTTCATGATTTACTCCATAAACGTAAATTTTCTAGCAAAATTGCTATTCATGTCTTTAAAAAATGAATTACATAAATTTCATTCATTGTTATTTTTCCAGTGAATGAACACAAATATATTTTCATCGTAGAAGTAAAAAACCGACAGACTCTCCTACGGTTGGTGTGTATCATTTGTGTTGTCGCGAAGTACAATTTTCGCACAATTAAAGTTTTTACAAAGTTAACATTATTGCCACAAAAGGGTGGTTTCAACAAACGTAGCTACAGACATACAAAATCTAAGTTGATCTTGTCATGTCATAATGCCATTGAATATAAATACCTTATTGAGTGGAGTTGTTTGACAGCATTTTTGCTGTGGAATCTGATCTTTAAACGCGAGGTAATTCGAACAATCCGTTTTAACTAAACTGATTTTCATCACCATGAAGAATTAGCTAAAAGAGGCTCGTCAAATGAATCAGTGAACGTTCGTGGTTTCAATCAAGACAAGCGTGCAACTGTGGTATGTGGTGCCACGAGGTCAGTCAGACGTTTAAATTATGCTTTTTGAAAGTTTAATCACCGGATGTATTTTAAATACAAGTCAATTGCTCACACTTAAATATTCATCAACAAACTAATATAGGCAAGCCCATGAAAAAGTGTGTTTTCCCCGAAAAATCAGTAGAAAGTGAGTGTTTTTTGGCTTCTGCTGTGCAAAAATTTCTGTTTTCATTCACTGAAGGAAGAAAAAGTAGAAATAAAGATGAGATTTGCATAATATAGAGCCAAAAAAAACCAAAATTCTGCCACGTTCTTTGTGGTGACTTCGGGGATATTAAAAATATTAAGGGCACGCGAATCTCCACTAAACTATTTAAGCCTACCGAAACTATGAGTAATTTAGTAAGGTTAAAGTGGTCGACTATTTTCAACACATACGACAGCAAAACAAAATGACGACAACAAACAAGACCGAATTCACGAATAGATTTTTAGTTAGGTAACAAAAAGAGTTGTATATCAATTCTACACAAAGTGACGAACAATCTATCGTTACAAATAAAAACAAAAAATTAAGTCGAAATTTAAGTTTCGTGAAACACCAAAAAAACAAAAAACAAAATTTGAATTCAATCTTTGATTTCAAAAACAAAAAACAAATTTTGGATTTGATTTTCCCATTGTTATTTTTTAATGTCATAATAAAAGGAATGGTTCTAAGAAATGAGTTTTAAGATTAAAGCCAGCTTGTTCACACTAGTGAAATAAAAGGATAAGCAGAAGCGTAGACAAAAGATAAAACAAAGATAATCAACGAAGCATGTGACATTAGCATCGACATAAGCGCAGGTATAAGGAAAAAATTCAACATAAGCTAGGAGAAGAACAAAAGAAGAACAAAAAAAGATTTAAAGAAAATCCCAATGTGTTTGTCTTCATAAACCTCTAGAGCAATAGAAACAAAAGTCTTGACGTTCGTGCTTATTTTCCTCGTGTGAACCAGGCTTAAATATTTGTACTTCAGTAATGCAGAAAGTGATTGTGTTCGCAAATGAGAGGTTAATTACATAATATGTTTCTTCACAACATTTAAAATGGTAATTAGAAAGATAATTAAGATAATTAGTAGATTTTTGTAAATGCGTTGGATGGTAAACTTTGAAATAAAGTATTTTCCAGTACGAAAAATATTTTAAGTAAAGTAAGTTTTACCCTGGAAAACATGTATTTTATTGTTCAATAAACTGCAATGAAACAAACACAGGAAAAAAGGTATAAACTATCCTCTAAAAACTCAAACTTATTTAGATACAAAAGCCATTCACCTATTTCAGAAATTTATCAAAATAGTTAATGATTATATGAGCTTTTGAACTATATATTTTAAATTTTACAAATTTATCATCAAATATAGTCCAAACGAGCATTAATGAGTTATAACGTTCCATAACTTAATGAAATTTTGTGTCTTAGACATACTTTTGTCCAAAAGGTAAAACTTCAGCAATGGCTTGAAATCGTGAAAAATTCATTGAAGGAAGATATGCCCATGAAGAACTACTTCCCTTTTCGAAACACTCCACGGACTTAAGACTTTCATCTTTATCATTCCTGCCTCCCATGACAACAATTGTATCACCAGTTATAACTGCACAACACATGGATCTTCTTTCCATCATGGATGGTAAGGTTGTGACTTTACCTGTTTTGATGTCATACATGTTAACACTGTTCAACCTTTTATTTCCATCATAACCTCCAAGAAGAACAACTTGATCTCTCCATTGAACTGTTGCCATTGCAGTCAATGGAAAAGGTAATGGAGCCATTTCCTTAAATGTAATAGTCCTTGGATCAAACTCCAAAACACTGGACAAAACTTCCCAATCTTTTCCGTGTCCTCCAAAAATAAGAACTTTGTCATCAACAACAACAGCTCCATGGCTCCACCGTGGTTCAGGCATATGAAACAACTCCTTTAAAACATGAGATGCTGTACCGGTAATGTTTATTTCACGAATCAAATCTGATTCTTCATCACGAATACGTCCTCCAATGTGAAGAATTTGTTGTTTACAAACAACAGTTTGATGACCATAACATGCATAAGGAAGCTCTCGAGGAAATGTCTTCCATGTCAAAGGAAACTGTTTTATCTTAAATGTCTCTATTGACTTGCAGTGAAATCCTCCAACAACATATAAATTATCATTATAAATAGATGATGAAGCCCTAAAGTGTTCATTTTCCGTTGATGCAATCTCAAGCCATTTTTTCTCCTTCCAAGAAAAAATTTCTACTTTCCTTGAAGAATCAATAGGTAAACCTCCAGCAACCAAAATATCACTTCTTAAAAAATCCATAACTAATTCAACTGGTGATGTCAATATTGGAGCAAAATATTCATTTATAGTCATCTTGTCCAAAAGTTCAAACATCATGGTTTTCATTTTTTCCATTTCTTGGGAAGATTCAATCAAATTTTTATACCAAGACTCGACAGCAAATTGCTTGCGCCAGTCCCGTATTGGATTAAATATTTTTCCGTCTCCAAGTTCAATACTTGGCCAAGTTGATAAATGATCATGATTGTTGTTGATCCTTGCAATGAACTGATATAAATGATGGTTGAGAAGAATGACAGACTTCATGTTTTCCATTCTTTGAGACTTTTTGAACATTACTCTGATGCCACCACCGATAGAAACAGAGAACATTTTACGAACACCGTCCAATTCATGCAGCCTTTTTATATAAGATAAACATAAATCAATGGCATTCTTTCGATGCTCCGGACATTCAAAAATTTGTGCCATGATCTTAACGATTGCGGCAAATATTCTGTCCTCCAAGCTTAAATTTTTGTTGTTGAAAACATCCGTTGCTTTCTCACGGGATTTTTTAAATCGATCCTTTGCCGATTCAAATTCCTTTGAATGTTGTATTGCACGGGAAAGATCATACTTGGTGGTGATGGCAGTACAAGTTGCCTGAGACTCATCATTATTACTTGCTTCTTCACATTCTCTATCACTTTCTACTTCGTCAATGCAATTAAAAAGTAGAATAAATCCTTCCTCCAAATAGTTCAAACTGGAGAAAAGGTCTATTTTTGAAAGATTATCTAGCATTGTTTCGATTTCGTGTAAATCTCGCTTGATAAGTTCGCGAAGTCCTTCATTACCAACGTCACCGTTTTCTAGCCTGTCTGCTGCAGCATCTCGGGCTTTGTTCGTAAAAAATTGAAATATGGAGAGCAGTAAGTTATCAAGAGACATGGCGTTTTGATGATTTGTACTCGTAGAGCTTGTGTATAAATCTGTTGCGTCTCTGTCAAAAGCAAAAACATTAACAAAATTACCTGTGTTTATAAATACTAGATTCAAATAAAATGCTTTATTTCTTTTAAAATTTCAACCAATCATATTAATAGATATTAATATGTCAACAGCAACGATTTACAGCATTTTCCATAGATCAGACTTTTACCGTTTCAAAAAAATTTTGGAAATTACGACAAAATTATCCCAGATCTCTCTCTGCAGTAAGGTTTTACAAAGAGTAGACAATATTTACAGTCCACTATATAGTCCCGTTATTTCATCGATTCTGTATCGTGTGTGTGTGTTTGAAGACAAGAAAATTGATGTGTGTAGTGACTTGTAAAGTGTATTTATTAGCTAACATTAAATATGGCTCGAAGTCTACATTGTGAACTGACGAAAGTAAAAAAGCGATAACCAAGGAAATACGTCGAAGTGAGAAATTATAAAAGAGAAGGGAAGTTTATTTAAATTAAGAAAAATATCAATAATGAGGGAAATTCTGTGTGGAAACCGTAACCATTTTTCTGGCTGATTCTGCTCTAGTTTATAAATTTTGGATCTATATTATATATTGTATTTGTAGTTACAATAGTTTGTGTCGATCAGTACGTCGTGCTTTAATTTATAAAACTAAACTCACGTTGACCTTTTCAACAGAAATCATTCAATGATATTTAGTGCAGCTAGTGCTTACGCTTTATTGATAACGTTGAAACCTTCAGTTTGTCGAACGACCTTTGCAATGTTAGGGAAATTTTCTATATTTTGAAAAGCAATTTATTCTGCGTCGTAGATTGTCGTTTATGCATCTTCAAACATGCATTTGCAAAGTTCACAAAAATATCAAGCTCCGCAGCTAGTGGCATAGGGTGAGTGGGAGACTTCAGTGTGACATATAGAGTGAGTTGGAGACTTCAGTGTGACACAAAGGGTAAGTGGGGGACTACAGTGTGACACAATGGGTGAGTGGGGGAGTATAGTATGACAAGAAGTAAGTGGGCAGTACAGTATAACATAGGGTGAGTGGAGGACTTTAGTGTGACATAGAGTGAGTAAGGACTACAGTGGGACAAAGGGTGTTTGAGGACTTCAGTGTGACATATAGAGTGAGTGGAGGACTATAGAGTGACACATAGTTTGAGTAGGAGACTCTGAAAGTGACAAAGAGTGAGAAGGGAGGCAGTGGTATGAAGTGAGGGGGGAGGCAGTATGACATAGAGTGGGATTAGTGGACACATAGGTGGAGGGTGGAATACAGAGTGGAAATATAGGGTGGACATAGTGGACATGGAAGGGGGGGATGGACGGACAACGGAACAAGGAACAACGAATCGAACAACACAACAACAACAGAAGCCACCATTCTTAATTCAAAGGTACGTCTGAGACTATCTCGCGTATCTTTACGACCATACAACATACGTGCCGCACATAAACCAATCACAACGCTATGATAAGTATTAACAAACGTCAAAGACAATGAACGATCAAATGAGCGCTAAGGTGCAGTTTACCGAAAAAACTGCCCGGACTGCCATGTCTTCTACATCGGTGTGACTGACAGGAACTTAAACATAACTCTTACTGAAAACAAACGTAGAACAAAGAAACAAGACAAAACTAATCACAGTGCAGAACATCACTAACTGACAAAACACAGCATTCATTGGGACTCGGCAAAATGCATTACTTACAGCACTGATTACAGAAAATGGAGGGCTTACGTTTCAAAGTTGGTATACCAACTTAGAACAAATCTATTGAACAGATCACAACAATTACCAGCACTTTACGAAAACAATTTATTCACAACATCAAACATTACTTTCATGATGACAATGCACAATTGATACCCACACATTTCCTGTAGAGACAATACGATGACGTGTGAACAAAACAACAAATACTATTACCCGACTCCTTACTTGACTCGATCTGAAGATGACTACCGCTAATGTTGTCGAAACGTGATTCATCATCAACACCAGCAGTCTTTCTCAGGACTCTACTAACGTGGAAGATCTACATCTACAAAGATGCAACGATACTTCTGGGTTAAAACCATTAACGTTAAAGTAACAATCTTGATAAAATAAAGTCATAATGAACGAATAAGGAAGAGAATCAACAATTTGCTCTGACCAAATGCGTTAAGTAATTAAAAATTGCTCAATTAAACACAATTTCGTGTCACAAATTTGCTTTAGTATATACTTGTTACATTGCGTTTTATCTTTATAATGTTGGTTTTTCACAATAAAGAAAAATAGCGAATCTATATTATTGATTGAAAATTTATATGTCGACATAAGTATGAAGTTATAAGAAACTATTTCATTCACCTTCCTCAAATATCTGTTTGTCTTTGTATTTCTGGATTATTGGTGTCTGAAGTTGCTTGCCAAACACGGATCTCTTTGAATCTTTTTGTTGTAACAGAAATAATGAAAAGTGGAAAAACCCGAATTTGCCTTGTTTGCAATCACAGATTGAATCATCGAAATGAGTGCGACAGCGGAAAACGGTTTATGCGAATTAGCAAATTCACGCGTATGATAATGAGCAACGCCAAGTCCAAGAACCAATAAAATCTCCTCTATACTTCTTACACTCGCGGGTGTCACGAAAGGAACAAACACGTGACTAAGTAAAAAAACAAACAATATAAACTCTCGACATAGCTAATTAATATTGTTAAGTAATAAACTTGGCTTTTTCTAAAGAAAAGAGAGAAAATGAGCACTTGATTTGAACAGTGTTTATTTGAAGAAATCGGTTTTTGTATTTTTGAGCATTACAAAATTGTAATCAACATTGTCTGGCAGTAGAAACATTATGGCCATGTATTAGCTAATATTTGGTATGACTAAAAGAGTGCGCAAAAAAGGCTGAGGATAGTGGTTTATTGAACTTCATAATGGACTGGAGTACTAACCTTGCTGTAATCATTTTTGACAAACCTTTGTTTTAAAAAATAGTGACTAAATTTTTACAAGATAGATGGTCATTGGCTTTTTAGTAACAAAATCATACGGTGCGAAGGTTTCCAAACTAGCATATTACGATACACAAAAATTTTACAATGGCTTTGTCAGTCATTGACTGTAAAATAATTAAAAAGGTCACCAAAAATTTGAATGTTCATGCTGCGTCTAAAAATGTTCAATAGGTTCAATTTAATTCACTATTTTAGATATTAATTAGTCACTTTTACTAAAGCATTTTTCTAAAAAAGACAACGACAGAATCTTAAATGTTTAAACTTCCATAGCACATCATACAAATTTTAAAGTATTCGTTGAATGTAACGTTAATTTCTTCACTAATTCGTTTATATGCATATTGCCAAAATACGAAGGCGTGCGTAGGAAGAAGGGGAGACAAACATACCAAACATACCAAACATACCAAAAATGTCTCTATTGAAAGGAATCTTATTGCGTACAAATTCTCATGTAAAACTAGCATTCAAAAAATAAACATCAATGTATTTGTGACATCAATCTTTTGCCTTGCTATTTTTATTACTTTTTGTCCTTCTGGTGAGTGGTGACAACAGATGAACGACATAAGAACGCCTTGCGAAGAGAAACAAGAATTCAACAGACTGAATACGTGGAGGAACTAAGTTGCACTCAATCTAAGACAAGTTCCTGACACAAATTAGTCCATAGAAGGTTGGAAGTAAGGGGGGGGGGAGGGTTTGGGCTTCTCACTCATACGTGCTCATCGAGTGTGAATCAGAAATTGTGCTCATACGTATCAACGGCAGACTCGTCTATCGACGGTAAGATTTTTGCTAAAATATTTCAAATCAAGTGGTGGAGTGAAAATATTGTCTTGGAATAGTCATGAGATGATTTTGAAGTCCCACTCGGCGAATATCCTTTTAGAATGGAAGCTTTGTTTAGTCGAAAGACCTTGGTTGGGTATTCAGTATATCTCAAACCTGGAATGCCATAATTTGCATATCATATGATATAATGACATAGAAATTGCGACATATCGACAACAATGTGAATTTCTGAAGAAATATTTTAAATTCAAACAACCGCTGGAGATAAATAATTTCTTGTTGTTTTAGGTGTAAATTATGTTATTTTCATATGTAAAAAGTTAACAATGAATATACAACAGTAAAAACTGAAAAATGGATATATATTACCGCATTTCATTCATCGGAAACCAAGTTCTGAGCGGGCTAAGTATTTTCAATGAAAATATAGCGTGAACAAATTGAATTATACTTAAGATTGTCATAGATAGTTTTTAATCATATGTGTATAATGTCAACATGCTTCAAATGTCGATGCTAAAGTCGAGTTCACTGCTCTCGGCATAAGCTCATTATTATCCTTGAAGCCTGACTTTACTCCGTTATCCCGAAATCCAAGCAAAATATTCTTTCTAAGCGTCTGTTCACTTTAAGTTGACACCAGTGGCGTAGCTAGCGGTACCGCTACTCCCGCCCGGCGGGAGTAGAAATTTCCCAAAAAAATAATAAATATTCTATTTGGACATAAGATATACATTATCACGAACAATTTGTAATATTATGTTTTATTCGTTCATATACGATATTAGGTGGTTCGTAATCGTAATACAGCAAAATCTCAAGATTTGATATGTAACCTAGCAACCGCCTTTTCTCACATTGCTTATTGCGCGCGATTCTTCCACGTATTCCGCCCATCTTCAGAGGGCGGAACATACAATATCCTATATAAGAAGTTTTGAATTCTGGTTGGCTAAGGGACTTGACGCATGCTCAAATCTGCTGTTTTATAGTCGAACTCCCGATATTTTAAATTGGCGGAGGTATTATTCGACCTTTAATACGAGTACAGCGATTAGTGATTATCAAATTACGTGTCATTGTCGGTATTAATTTTCCATTGTGTTTACTCTCAAATTGCTATTTTGTATTTGTGTATGACACAATGGCTTCAAGTGCAACTGTGATTTGCTCAACTGATGTTGATTTAGTAAATAGCTTATTAGCTAAACCGTTCTCTGCTCGATCGTCGGTCGAACAGAATGTTATCGTTCATGAACGGCCTACTCTGATTTAACTATCCAAAATAAGGAAGAGCATTTAGAGAGATTGGTATGAGGTGAAGGACTGGCTGTGTGGCAGTACAACCTTTGCAGAAAGTGTTTTGTTGGCCATGTCTAATGTTTTCTCTAAAACATCGCCATCGTGGACTAAGAATGGCTACAACGATATGCGAGTATTATGTCTGATGCTAAGAAGATGCATGAAAATCTAAATCGCATTTGACTGCATTTAAGACATGGAAAACGTATGGAGCTAGTGAACGAATTGATTGTCTTATGTCCCTCGCTAGAAGAAATGAGATTCAGCGTCACAATGAGGAGGTAAGACAAAATCGAGAAATTTTAAAACTGTTACTGAGGCCGTGCTGTATTTGTCAAAGCAAGAGCTGCATTTAGAGGTCACAATGAGTCCGAAGGTAGCTTGAACAAAGGTAATTATAGAGAGTTGCTCGAATGTTTTGCTAAGTTTGATTCTGTATTTGAGCGTCGACTGCACAGTAGACTAGCAGAATCTGATATAGTTGGTGACAGAAGATTTACTTGAGTCTCCCCAGAAATTCAAAATGGTCTTATCAGCTGTCTTGATTCAATTATTGAAGAGGAAATCAGAAAGGAAATAAATGATTGCACATTTATGAGTATTCAGGTTGATGAAGCATCTGATGTTCCACCAAAGAGCAGCTAAGTGTTATTGCTCGGTTTGACAAAGGTGAAATTATGGAGAGGCAATTAGGATTTGCGGATGGGTATGAACAGAAATGCCACAGCAATATCACAAGTTGTCAAAGATAAACTTGGTGAGTATTCTAATATAAAAGAAAAACTGGTTTTACAAACACATATGATGGTGCTTCTGTCATGTCTGGCCATATCAATGGTGTTCAAGCATTGGTTCGACAAGAGTATCCTTTGCTCATTTTGTTCATTGTGCAGCTATAGATTGAACCTGGTCCTATGCCAGTCAGCCTCATCAATTCTCCTGTTAAAATCTTTTTATTAATATAGCTACATTCAGCACATTTACAAGCAATGCCCCAAAAAGAAAAGCTTTTCTCACATCTAACAACCTTGAGTTTCCTGCCCCTGCACTGTAAATTTTGGGGGGTAAAAATTACCCTTAACGTTAGGGGTGAAATGAGTGCCACAGAATGCCCCGGTTTTGAAGGGTAATATTTTATGGGGTAATATTTATTTAGGGTAAAATTTGATGGTAATATTTAGTTAGGTAACTTCTATTAAGGGTGAAATTTATCAAGGTAAAATTTATGGGGTAAATTTTAAGCAAGGGATTTGATGGACATAATTTCCATAATTTGGGGGTAAAAAGAAATTACACAGAATGCGATTTTCACAAGTAAAAAGGCGATTAGGTAATGAAAATATTTCGTGTCAAAATGTGCCTGGGATGCAAGAGATTTTTGAAGAGAACAACGCAATAGCCAATCCATTCAAAAACTTGAAACTGAAGCACAACGACGACGTTTTACAAAGACATTTTGATTAAAGGTATTACATTTTATTAACGAGAACGCAGAAACATATGAAACAATGAAAAAGCTTTTCCTGGACGTCTTTGCTTTTTTAAACAGGAACCACGTAGAATTATTCTGGTCAAAAGAGAGTCTTCAAAAGAAGAAATGTATTAGAGCAAATTCAAGTTAATGAGGAGGCATATTATATACCACTTTTGGATAGTCTGCAACAGCTTTAAATGACGACTTCATTTTAGCAGAGGTCAGGTGCATGGTCTTTGAAATTAAATAATAGTTAAGTCAAATATACATTATGGCAAATTGAAAAGTTGCATTTACGATGATTTCACTTGAGATATTATCATCTTCACAATGATGTTTCTTAGAAGTTATTTCTTTCATCTTTTTAGGTCAAAACTCACACGAGTTCAGATGGCCTTCTGAGAGACTATTGTGATGGTCATCAGTTCAAAATGCACCCAATTTTTTCGAAAAAAAACAGAGGCTCTTCAGATTATGTTGTATTACGACGATTTAGAAACATGCAATCCGCTTGGATCGAGGGCAACTAAACATAAAATTGGTAAAGTAAAATAAATTAATCAAACGCGAAATTATTAAATTAGAACTTTCATAATTACACATATAAATTTTGGAGCATTCTACTATACACTGGGTAATATTAACTTAAATCAGTCATCGATGAAGGCAATTCAGCTTCTGTGTCTATGCAAACGTCTAACATTAAAGAGTATGGAATTGATGCAGTACTAAAACCATTCGTTACTGATTTAAAAAAGTTAGAAAAGGTATGCTCAGCTCACACAGCAGCATAATAAAGTAAACAACTTCACTTTTCCACTTTGGTTTCAGAACAGTGGTCATTCCTTCGAGATTAAAGGTGTAGACGAGACCTTCTGTGGATCCATAGCATACACATCTGCTGACAATCTTGGGGCACAGTTGTTAGGAGGATTTAAAGAGAGTTGCAGTGCAAACAAGCCATGTCGATATTGTCTTGCAAGTGCTGAAGAAATGAAAACAAAGGTATAAAAAACATCTCTCATTGCAGCAGCTATCAACTTAATTCAAACTTGAATTAGTTAGTGGTTACTCTACATACAATAACGCAACTATTACTTTTAGTTTCATGAAAGACTTTGTTTTGAGAACAAAAGAAAACTATAACACCCATGCTTCTCAAGTTGTACAGTATGGCGAACACTTCAGTAAAGTATGGCATCAACCGTACATCAATCCTAAATCTAAGCAGCTACTACTGTTGGTGGCTTACCACCAGACATAATGCATGACATTTTAGAGGGGGTTCTGCAATACGAAACAAAGGAAATATTAAAAAATTATATAAGAGAGGAACGTTATTTCACTCTGGATACATTGAATGAAAAAATTGCCAAATACGACTTTGGATATTACAATGACACCAACAAACCATCACCAATATCAGAAGCAAAGTTATCATCAAATGACAACAGTTTAAAACAACATGGTACATTGTTCATTGGAAATGCGCAATGACTTATAATATTTATTATCGTAATATGTTGATGTAGTTCCAACAGCTAGATAGCTGAGGTATGTGTTTTTATTCTAATTGATTGCAGCTGTTCAGATGCGGTGCTTGGCAATTCACTTACCACTCATAATTGGAAATATTGTTCCTCCAGAAAATGACCGATGGAAACTTTTTCTTAGTTTGCTACAAATCATATCTCTTTGCTTTTCACCTGTAATATCAAAAGATGAAGTGGCATATCTTCAAGTCCTAATCAATGACCACCACAATAAGTTCAAGGAGCTTTATCCCCACTGCAGCATAATTCCAAAAATGCATTTTATGGTCCACATTCCTAGTGCTATAATCAGGTATTGTAAAATCAAACAGTAATAGAGTATTCCCTTCAATAGAAATCAAATAGCAAGGTACCATATTTAAAACTTGTAGAATGGGCCCTCTAGTTCAGCTTTGTGCATGCGATTTGAAGCAAAACACCATTATTTTAAGAAGTTGAGCACTGTAATTGGTAACTACACAAACTTACCATTTACTTTGGCCATGCGACACCAACAATGGGTTTGCTATAAATTGCAGTCTAGCAATCATGAATCAGGATTTCTCGAAAAAGGCATTGAAGTTGGACCAGGTACAGCAAATAATTTAAAGGAGCTATAGCAAGAAATGAGCATGAATTACAAATGTAAATTTAAATTTTTAAATTTAAAGGTCCAACACTATGTGCAGGAGATCATGAGAACTATGACTTATTAAGCAACCAGGATGTCTTCATACATCAAACTACTTCTATTGCCAGGTATACTTTAAAAATACTCACTGAAACTTGAGTGAAATACGCATGGCAAAGCTTTTATCAATAATTGAAAAGGTAATTTTTAAAAAATTCTGGTAAAATGCAGTTATTGCACATACTTTTTCATGTATAAAGAAGTAAAAAATGCAATTTTAAGAAAAAATTATACAAATAATGACTATTTGCAATTTTCATGATTGAACATTCTTTTTCCTAGTTTTTTTTACCTTTTGGCAGTTAGTTATTAATGCACTAATTCAATTAAGTAGATTTACAGAACAAAAATACAAATTGTTTTTCTCAATATTTTAGACCAAAATGGATTTCAGTTCATGGTACGAAATTCAAAGCTGGATGTGTTTTGTGGGTTAGTCATGACAAAGAAGAAATGCCATGTTTTGTGATATTGAAAGAGATTTTGGTGGTAGAATGGAATTTGGAAAGAGCATGGTTCATTACTCAGAAACTTGAACTGTCAAATTTCATGAGCATTTCAGTGCATATGAAATGGTTGACACAACTGAGCTACAGATAATTAAACAGCAAGAGCTACTATACCCATTGCCACTGCATTTGATTAATATTTCAGTTCATGGGCAAAACAAAATATTTGTGTGTCCAAAATATCAAATACCTGTTATTTAAGGAACAAAACTTTGCATTTTTACGTTGAATTAAAAGGCGAGCATAATATGAATTAAAACATAATCAGAAGCATAAACCTTCTCTAGTAGGAAAATATGTTTCCTATTGAAACAAAACACAACCTCTATTGCATTTGAGTTGATCAAGAGCAACAATCGCAAAGAGAAACGTACTCAAAAGAAAAATAGTCGGAGCCCTAGACAGTTAAGATTCTATCTCCAGGTCATTTTGCCAAAATAACCTAAATGCAGCCTTTTCCATAGTACACAAATATCTTAAATGGTTAGTAATACAAGAGCCTATTCAAAATACAACGAAGTTCAGAACTTCAGAGTAATGAGAGCATGTATTAAGTATTCGTTTACAACTCTTACATTACGTGGTGTTATTTAATTATACTATAAATCTATATATATATATATATTTAATATACTTACTTTCTTCTAGAAATCTTGGAGAAATAGACCATAAATGCTAATATTCCGACAAAGTGGTTTGGACTCTGTTGACGAAGAAGCATGTTTCTTCCACTCTTGCTTAATTCCGCCATGTTGATTTTAAAACATGCGTTGCACTTGGCATTACACCAAACGCATGGGGTAATTTTTAAACCCACATGCTGCATTTACACCCAAAGAGGGTCATTGTAAACATTACCATTATGTTGAGGGTAAAAGTTAAACCACGGATAGCAAACTACCCAAGATTTTAGAGTAAATATTACCCTTTAGTGAATTACCCATCTGAAGGTAGTAAATATTACCCTAAAAAAAGATAACTTTTACCCCCTAAAATTTACAGTGTGGTGAAACAAGATGGTATTATCGCTCTAGATTAATCAATGTATTGCACAAAAACTATGAAAAACTTTTAGATATTTTTGAGGGGGTACTTGAACAACCAGCTGGGTGGGATGATGAGTCATTAAGTAAAATAAGTGGCTTACTGCATTATCTTGATAGCTTTCTCTTTGGTTTTCTAGTGTGTGTTTTTTACAGGATTTTAGAACAGTCCACAATTTTGTATTCCATTCTTCAAAATAGGGAAACGCATTTTAACTATGGCATAAGCAAGATTGTAAATTTCAAGCAGTTTATTGTGTCGCTTCGCACAGATCAAGCTTTCACCGAGTTTTACCAAACTGCACTAGAAAAAGTAGGCCCACCAGCAACCAGAGCAGACAGTAGATACAATTACAAACAGCTTTATTTTGAGATTATTGATTCCATTAAAGGCATGTTAAGTGAACGATTTCAAGATATTAATCAGTTCGAGTTTTTAGACCTTGTAAATCCTAAACTATTTACTACATGGAAGGGCATAGTTCCACAGGAGAAGATCAATCTCTCAAAGATAAGTATAGTCCTCTTTTTGACATCCAAACTTTGAGAGTCAACTTTCCTTCATTTACAACGACAAGGACTTTCACAAAGAGTGCAGTAATGAGGTTCTTAAATACATCTTCAAATTTAATCTCCAGTCGAGTTTATGTCAAGTGGTAAATTTGCTAAAATTGAATGGTGTGTTGGCAGTGGCAAGTGCTTCAGTAGAGAGGTCGTTTTCTTGCTTAAAAAGGGTAAAAAGCTATTTAAGAAATAGAATGGGTCAAGGTTGGCTTAGCTCTTTGTGTAGAATATCTATTCACAAAGATATCATTAAAAATAAAGAGGAATCAGAGGTGTTGCATAACGAGGTGGTTGAAAAATTTGTAGAAAAACCCAGGAGGCTGGCCTTTCTTTATAAATGATGAGTATAGTATGTGTTTTGATATTTGTTCGTATAATACATGGTACTTCATTGAGAAAATTAAGCATAACTTTAAAGAATAAAGCCATCCCTGTCTACTTGCCCCAATCTAAACAAGTTTAAACTAACAAGTAGAATGCTAAGAACAATCTCTCTCTATGCACTTTAGAAGTGTCGTATACTATATTATTTTTTGTGCTAATACAAATTTCTTCTGTTTATGCAGGGGCAGTGATGAGTAAATTATATTTTAGGGGACAGTTGTCTCCTGCGTAACGTTTCTCTGAGCCACCTTTAGTACCTTTTTAACTAGTTGCAGTTTCAACGATTGCCACATTAAGAATGCAGCTAACAAAAATGGGTTTTTATAAATTATTGTACAACAAATAATTCGCCCTCGAAATCGCAGGAAATGCTGTTTCCAAGGCTCTGGATTTAAAAATTTTCCGGGGGAGCATGCCCCCGGACCCCCTAGTGGGGTCGCGCCTCCGGCGCGAGAGGGATTAGCGGGAGTGACTATTTTTCCTAGCTACGCCACTGGTTGACACTAGGAATACTTTGAGCATGATCGGCAGGAAAATTATGATTCCTTTCCAAAAATGGTTGGATTTTATTTACGTGACCACTTTGACGGCAGTGCAGTTCAATATGTCCATATCTTTAGATCTGCTTGGATGATATCCTGTTTTGTGGATAAAAAATTTCCCATAAACCAAAAATCGTTTCTTACTATGCACTAACACGTTGAAGTGGGCGGAGACCGTTATATTTAATTACTCTTTCCATAGCCTAACAAAATGTACACAAGCAATTATACAAGGCAGGTAACTGGTCACGATTCAAAAGGTTTTTGGAAAAAATAATACATACCTATCCCCCAGTGTCTGTGGTATTCATTACCATTCCATCAATTAATGACTATTATATACTTCAAATTAGAACTCATTACTTTCATGACGAATTTTGCAAGGGTTATTTATTTGATTTATAAATAATCGGTAATAAGTTACATCCTGCTTCCCCATGTTTGACTGCGCAATTTGCTCAGAATTAATTTCATGTATGTAGCGACTAATTATGGCTTCTTGAAGACTTGGGACAGCATAGTCCACAATCAGTTGGCATAGAAGAACTTTAATTCGAAATTGCTGTTTCAAACTTATATGAACAAATTTTCTCAAACAAGAAATTAAAAACGACTATACTTTCCTTTTTTTTCCTTTTTATTGCCGCATTATTAAAAAATCAGTAGGTATTTACTTAACTTTACTATACTAAACTGTTTTCATCTAAGTTCATAATCTCCTGTTTCATTATACTAGTGCATGGTTTTGATCTCAGACTAGAGAAAAAAGAACACATAACAATATATAAAAAATTATCAAATTTTAAGTGACTACTGACGTTCGCTCTAAAAATTGTGGAAGTAGTATAGGCTATAACATGATATATATATTATATAAGCTTGAAAATTGGTAATCCGGGCATTTAATGTATAATTATTAAATTTTTTTCGGATTTTAATAAAATTATTTTACAGTGCTTCGAGCCTTCATCAAAATTATATAGGAAGTTATTTACAATTATTTTTTAATTTGTAGCCATTTAAAGCGTCTAATTGGATAAGCGGGTGGATTAATATGATTGAAGGTGTGGAATGCGTTGTCATTGTAGTCATAGGGACAGCTTAACTTCCTACACAAATGCAAACAACAATGACAACGCATTCTACATCATCCAGTCATATTAATCCACCCGCTAATCCAATTAGACGTTCTAAACATCTAAAAATTAGAGACAGTTGCAAATAACTTCCTGTATAATTCTGATAAAGGCTCGAAGCACCGAGTCGAGAGCTCAATAAAATAACTTCCTTACAATCCGGAAAACTTTCATTTATATAAAGATTATATAATATATAAGATTATTATTTATAAAATAAACACAATTAAACTCGTGCACTGATTGGTTTAGAAATGTTCTTGCATTAGCCTGCGCAAAACACAACCGAGCTCAACCAATCAAATGAAATATCACAATTAATCAGTCAAAGAGAATTTGCAAATCGATCATGAATACATTTTAGAGGAAAAATTAAAATGTTTGTCTGTTTCATATTATTGTTATTTTATAAAAGAAATAAATGTTTTTCGTGTATGCACTAAATTATGCAAACCTCGGCGACGTTAGTGAGATATCCCAAGTCGGTGCAACCCTCGACCTTCGTCTAGGCTCTTGCCGATTGTGCTAGCATAATTTTTGGCATAATCTGAGGGATTGAGCATAATTTTTGCCCTTTTTCAAAAAGTAGCACTGCTAGCATAATCCGTATATTTTCTTGTCTTAATAGCACAATTTTAGAATAATTCAAGGAAACAAAGATCTCAGCTACTAAAAACGATAGATTACTATTGACAGTTGCTTCCACTCCTATTTTTAGATTTTTTTTTACTTGTGTTGAGATACCGTGGGAGCTCGATGAAACGGAACCGGAAGTCTGTGTCTCGGTCCCAGACTACTTAGTCTTTCTCCCAGTGCTCGTTTCAAAATGGCGGCCGCCACGCCAAACCAGTCAAGTGCAGTGAACTTACATCCAGATAGTTTACAAGGTTGGGAGAATAGAGAGGATAGACCAAAGCCTGCACAACTTGCCCGGGATAGACACCTCGAATCCACCACTGGAAAATACAAGAGGAGGGGGACGAGTAATGTCACTAATGCGAAAAATGTCCCTTTGCAAGATCGTATTAATCAGTTCCCTGATCAGCACCTGAGTGTCAGAGGCACAACGATCTATTGCAATGCCTGCAGAGAAATGGTATCATCCAAAAAGAGCATTTTAGCATCACATTGCAGTTCAAGAAAACATGCCAAAGGAAAGATGCGCTGAAGAGATCAAGGTTAAGAGAACAAACGATAGCCGAGGCAATCAGCAGAGAGAAGACTCGTAAAGACAACACGCTACCGTTGGCTGATTAAGCATACCGACAGGAAGTAGTGGAGGAATTTTTGAAAGCAGGGATTCCAATCGGGAAGGTAGACAGGCTACG